GGGGTTAGAAGGGAGGAGGGTGTCCCAGGGTCAAACGCGGTGGGGGGGGGCTGACAGTTGGATTGGTGGGGAGCGAGCGAAGCGAGCGGGAGGGCGAAGCCCCCTGGGGTTGGTGAGCGAAGCGAGCAGGGGGCGAAGCCCCCTAGTCCTCTAATATTCTCGCAGAAAACATATAACAGTAATAATACATTGTACTTATATTCATCATAACAGATCTGGCATGTCAACAATAACTCAACTTTCAGATTCAGTATTCATCTTTCTTGGCGTTCAGTACTGACGAAATCCCACCTCTTCAAATATTTTCACCGGGAATACTCATTATTTCCATTTTAAAAAAATGTTGCATGCCTATCAACTAATATTATAAAAAACTTGACATGGAAGGAGTATCTTGTGTTGATATGGTGCAGTGAATTTCTTATGGCTACACTGACTCACGTTTTAGATTGAGTACCTGACAATTTTCAATTAACAATGCTAAACACTCATTTATCTAACTATTCCAATTGAAATCTCGCATCACTTGCTCGATAATTTTTCCATTACAAAGCACTCAACTGATATTACTAAACGGCTGACCTTGACCGGCACTATTTTATTTAATTATTTTTTTCTGGAAACACTTCTTACATCAACCACTCCGAAATATAACACTCAGCATCCCCTGAAACTTTGCTATTGCATATGATAATGGTGTTGAAACAATACTAACTGTGAATGTATATGCGGCTCGTACAGTTCTTGGGTTTGTTATTTATAATGAACGACAAATTCTCATCTGTCTGACTATTTCTGCCGGAAATTCTCATAGTCTCATAACAAATTTGCCATCACAAAAAGTTCGAATTATATAGGACTGTATTTTTGAACATGAATTTTCAATAAGAAACCTGGGGAATGGGTTGGAAAATTTTATGGGATTTATATTAAACTTCTAATTAGTTTTTGCCGATTGTACTGAAAAATTCAGCTGTTCAGCGGCGTTTTTTTTTTCAAAGTAAATGTTGACTAAAAGAATTTCTATTAGCAAAATTGATAGAAGATAATTTTACAAACAATTCATGACATAAAGAGATTTTCTGAAAAAATTCTTCGGCTATAAAATTCTAAATTCTTGGTTGAATATTCGAGTAAAAAAAAGCATAGTAAAAAAAAAAATCAGAAGAGCCATGTCGAACAATTCTTGGGGAAAATGTCTGAGTGAAAAATAGGTATATGGAACAATCCTTCAATGAGTCATGAGTCATTCGAGTCCAGAATTTCAATCACTCCCGACATTTATTCACCTAACAGTGATATTGGAAACAAGTTTGTCCCGAATTTCTGCATCTCAAAAGCAATTGGAATGGGAAATACGCGAGATCGATTTCTTTCTACAATTCATTTCAAACTGAATTTTACGTATAAAATCGCTGCTGGAAAAAATTTATATCTACATTTTTCATGTAAAACATGTTGAATTTTCTTTGAAGGAAATATTGAAATTTTACATTAATCTTTTTTTTCACTTCGATTGATTATTTCCTAGCTTGTTTAGGGAGGAAGGACGGTAATATCTATTTCGATTGAAAATTTTCGGTACCTTCCGAAGTGACAATAAAAAAATTAATTTCCCATGGTGAAAGATCAAGATAAATGGCTTTTTGAACTTAAACCTTCAACCGTCAAAAATCACAAAATTCCGAATCTTTCACGTGACAAATGGATGTATCAATTTTTAACTTGGAAGTTATTTTGCATATCCAGTGAAAATAAATTTTAGAAAAAAACGATTTGTCATATTTCCCCTCCGAGTTGAGTTTGAAGTCTAAAAATGCAGGACAAACTCCCTTTTCATACCACTGATAAGCAGAGAAATTCCAAGAAAGACTGAAATTTCGAAGCAGAATGACTCGTTGATAATCGGTGGATTGTGGCATAAAAGAATAAAAATAATATAATGAATATGTTGTTAATTTTTTTTGTATTTTCTGTTGAAATATGAAACCTGAAATTCTACTTATCTGTTTATATTAAGTAATTCCTATTGGAAATTGCCTATTTGAATCCTCTAATAAAATTGATTGAAAGCTGAATTATTTTCAATACAAGTTCCATAGAAAACCTGATCGAATTTTCTACCCCATTGAAAAGGCTTTTCAAAGAATTTTTTTCGTTCATTTGTGAATTTCACTGTGATATTGAAAGTATTTTGACTCCATTTTCGCCTGAGCAGACTAAAAACTCACATTTCTCGGACCGTTTATACTTGGATTTCTCTTCGATACCATAAAACAAATTAAAATCACGAAAAACAATACTATAAACATTTCTCACCCATATCTACCTCCATAATATCCCCCATCCGCACTTGAACTCTTCGCTAATATTGTTCTTAGTCAATCTAATATCACATAAACAAATTTGGTTTATCCAGTTTCGTCCTCAGCAATTCTCTCTGGTGTGAAAAATTTGGAAACAATCGTCGAGGCAAAGACCAACATTATAATCCACATAATCCACACATTCAAATACACTAGTCTTCTTACTGCAATGCTTAGTGCATACGACACATCTCCTTTGCAGAGCTTTCTGCAGTATACTGTTGGATTTGGGAACTCTTGTAATGAAGTGTCTCTCAGTCAGTCGTTTTACCGATGTGACATCGGAGTAAGCAGTTTCCTTGAGGTTCGGTTTATACTTTGCAATGAGACCCTCGGCAAGTTGTGTCCTTAAATCCAATTGACTCATTTGTGATCCAGTATTCTTCCTGTATATTATATAAGCATTGATAATTGAAGAATTTAAGAGTCGTTTGAAGAGCTTCATGTACCACTTGTTGTTTCTCTTCCTTTCCACTAGGAAAGGCTGTATCAGCTGATCGTGGAGATCAACACCCCCCATGTACTTGTTATATTCGAGGACACAGTTTGGCTTCTTCGTTTCTTTCGGCCCCTTGGTAATAGTTGTCATTGAATGATCATGGAATTTAGAGATCATTGTTACATTTTTCTTATCGCACCACTTCATTACTGTTACTGGACCATCATGTAGTGCAATGATTTCTCCTTTTTTCAATTTCTTCTCACTGACAGCGGCTGGGATCGATTTTCTGTTGATTCTCAGGGTACCGGCACAGTCGGTCAGATAAGATTTTAGATAGAAAGCCAGTTGAGGACTATTGTAAAAATTGTCCATCCACAGAGTGTACCCTTGATTAAAAAGCGATTCAATCAGTTTTAGAACGATAGCAGAAGTTTTAGGAGTAGTATCGCTGGTCAATTCCGAAGAAATTTCAGTATTTTTACCGAGATAAATAATAAATCCTCACAGATAACCAGTGACCGAGTCACATAATTCAAAATGATACCAAACTTCGCTGATTTTAGAGGCAAATATTGCTTTATCGAGAGTCGTCCTTTCCATAAACGGAATGACTCATCGATTGCAATATTCTGATTTGGAGTGTACAGAGAGGAGAATTTATCTTTCAAGTGATTCAGTACTGGATGAATTTTGAACAGCTGCGAAGGTCCAGCATAGTCAGCCTGCTTTGCATTATCAGCAAAATGCAAATACAAACAAATTTCTTCAAATCTGTCCCTAGTCATAACATCATTGAATCCAGGTGTCGAAATGAGTCTCTTCTTTGTGAAATACATTTTTATGTTAGGCTTTTAAACGATGCCCATCAACATTATGACTGCTAGAACCACATCTAACTCATCCTCCTCCAGTGGAGTCCACCCTAGTGGAAAAACCTAAGGCAGAGGCGTAACATGCCTGATCAGAATTTCGGATCGGAATTGATCAGTTTCTGATCAAGACCTGAACAGAATTTCCACTCAGGTATGAGTCAATTTGAGAGTGAAATTCGTAAGTGTCCTGGTAGCTCAGATGGTAAGAGCACCCGACGCGACATTGGGAGGTCCCGGGTTCGATTCCCGGCTAGGAAGTTACTAATTTTTTCT